ATCACGCAGGTCACTGAGAGTTGAGTGACCCCATCCCAGTGCTGCGATCGGTCAGACCTGTCATGACGGACGCGACATGTTGCTGATGAGACCTGACCAGTCTCTGATCCGTGTCAAGCGGAGGTCGTTTGTCGATGATATCTGTTTTGGAGGGGAGACGTTCGACACCTGCTTGGAGACACTCGACCGATTACTAGCCCGGTTCACAGAATGTCGAATTAGCATCAGCTTTACCAAGAGTATCTTTATCCAGCCCAAGGTTGATTTCCTATCGCACGAGATTACGCCGAGTGGCATACGCGCTGATGCGAAGAAGATAGCCGCGATCGCCGAGCTCGCCTTCCCGAAATCGAAGAAGGGGATGCAAGCGTTCCTCGGTGCCCTCAACTATTACGGCCGATTCATCCAGAACTTGGCTGTTTACGGAGCAGTACTCTATCAGCCAAAGGATACGGACTTTGGTCCTGGGGGTGACCTGGCGTCAGCAAAAGCATCATTCGCCGAGCTCAAAAGACGGGTAGCAGAAGCTCCAATTCTGCGTCATTTCGACTCGGCGAAAGAAGTCCACATAATGTTGTACGCCAATGAGTGGGCGCTGAGCAGTACGTTGATGCAACCACACGACGACAAGCTGCACCCAGTTCGCTTCTGCGGACGCGTAATAAAGGAGAACGAACTCGGCTATCATCCCGCTGAGAAAGAAGTAGTCGCGCTGTTGCAATTGCTGAAAGTGTGCTACACTCTCTTGGCGGGAAAGACGCTTCACGTCTACACCCGTTTCTCCACGCTGGAGTGGGTGTTTAAGTCAAAGTCGCTGTACGGTCGCGCAGTCAGTTTCGCAGTTATGTTGTCGCCCTACGATTTGAAGGTGAAACGAGTACGTGAGCGAGATGTAGACTTCGCCCAGTTGCTCCAGGCGTCGATAACCCCGTTTATCGGACTCGACGATTCCTTGAAGCACGTGGCACCTCCCTCCAAGAACTCGGCGACAGTTCAAATGGACCCAGCGCTGCTATATGCCCGAATACCAGCTGACTTTGCAGGATGCGTGCTGTCATTTGATGGCTCAGCGAAGACAACTAAATACGGCGGGTATGGCAGTTGTTCGTGGATACTGTGGCGCCTTCCGAATTGGGACATTGAGATTGCTGCGAGTGCGTACCTGTCGTCCACCACAGTGAACATCGCCGAGTACACCGGCATGAACAATGGCGTCTTGGCGGCGATTGACCGAGAGATAACCGATCTGATTATCGTGGGTGACTCCCGGCTTGCAATCCAGCAATCCATGGGGGTGATAGCATGCAAGAAGGTAACGTTGCAAGTGGAACTAGCTCGGCACAAGGATCTCACGAAACAACTCAACTCGGTCCGGTATCGACACATAGCGCGACACTATAACGCAGCGGCTGATTCTCTCGCTACAGAAGCACTGGAAGCTAAAGCTGGACGGGTAATTCTTGGGACGGACAGGAAAGCAGAGCTGAGAATGATTAACCGCGTAGCCGAAGAGCTGTACGCCACAGACAACCCAGCGGAAACACCGATTGTCACGGCAGTCACTCGTAGCCGAGTACGCCGAGTTCACTTTGAGGACGAGCTGGATAAAGACTCGGCTAGAGCAAGAGGTGGAAGTCAGGATCATGAAGCCATGTCTACAAATCCTGGAGAATCCGCGTTTGAAAGCAGTGGAGATGAATTCGAACAAGTCAGCAGGGCGTCGACTCGGCGGATTAACCACACGACCCCGAATGTCGAAGCAGGGTCGCAGATGGAGTCAGCCCAGACAGCTCAGAATGCCAACGACATTGATCCAGTGACGGTACAGACTAAGCGGAGACGACGAATCGCGAAGGCACAAGATGAAGAACTCAGGTGGGCCGATCTGAAGGCGTACCTGAGAGGTGAATTGGAGGACCTTACACACCGTCGAGCTCAGAATGCCGGCAAAGTCGCAGAAGTCTTTGTACTCAGCGAAGACGGCCTGTTATACCGCCGAGATGAAGCCCGCCGACTAGGCGAACTCGGCGAACCGAACCTTTCATTGAGATTGGTGATTCCGTCAACCATGGTCGACGAAATACTTCATAACTGCCACAACTCGATCGAAGGAGGGCATCAAGGCATCGTCAGAGCGTATCACCGAGTCAAAGCCGACTACTACTGGATTGGTCTTTACGCCGACGTGGTGAAACATGTTAGGGCCTGCGAGGACTGCAATACTAGTAAGAGCAAGCCACAGTTGAGAGGTTATTCGCCGGGAAATGTGGTGTCAGACCATCCATTCCAAGTCGTGTCAATGGATTTCGTGATTCCCCTTCCTCGAACTCAGCGGGGCAATACTGCACTGCTGCTGTTCCAGGACCACTTCACGGGGTTCGTTATCGCTAAGGCTATGAATGACACCGGAGCACTCGAAGTGGCCAAGGTATTTGAGGAATGCGTCTTCAGGCAGTTCGGGGCTCCGTCTCTGATACGGCACGACCGAGATCCAAGGTTTATGAGTGAAGTGGTCCAAAAGTTCTCCGAGATGATGCAGTCGAGATCAAGAGCTACAGCTGAGTTACCGACCACAAGCTAACGGTCAACAAGAGAGGAGA